TCAAGCCCAAGAGCTCTGCACATCCCTGGGGAGGGCAGTGGTGCCATGGGACTGCTTCCCTTTAGTGGGAGGCAAAACCTACCAGGGATTTAAGGAGCGCCTGGTGTTCATTCTCCTGCACAGTCTATTAAACAAACACTGCCACAGAAAAAATCCTTGGCTCTGGGAGACCTCAATTCAACTTTGGGTGGAGATGGGAAAACAAAACAAACCCCCCAGCCTTTTCTGCTTCCCTCGTTTCCATTGTGCAAAATATTGCCTGGTGCAACACAAGAAGCTGGCTTTGTTCAGGAGAGCAAACCAAATGTACTTCCCTCCAAAAATGTCATTTCCAAGAGAAAACTTTCATTCTCAGGCAATAGAAAAGCATTCAATTTTAGGGCAAGGTTGGCTTCTGTAAGCAAAATTTAAAAAGAGGATCGGCTCTGGGAATCCAGTGTTTGCAATCTCCTTCCTGGGATCTGGGGGATTTTCTTCACTTGGGGGATACCTGGAGCACGTAACATCAAGAGCAGCAACAGGCTGCCTTCCAGAAAGGCTGGAAACACCTCCCATGGAGGGGATTGCTTTGTCAGCAGAGCCTGCTCTGTCTGTCACGTTATCCAGTGACATAACAGCTGCATCTTCCCCTGCAGCAGGGCAAGTGGCTGAAAGAAGCCTTTGCAGCACTGGGGCCACAGCTGACCAGCCCTGCCTGCAGCTCTGAGGATTCAGGAGCCATGGCACACTGCTGAGTGAGAGAAAAGGGAAAATCCCTTCTGCAAGAGGGCAAGGCCAGGAGGGTCACGCTGAAACACCTGCAGGGAATGGGCACTGAAGTCAGCACGGGCTTTTCCCGTGGGTTTGGTTAACTCACCACAAGTGTGACAGGACAGGGCTGACAGGGGCGGACAGAGCAGCCACAGCAAGGCCACTTCTGACAGTAAAGTGTCATTAGGCTGCGGCCTCCTAAACCTTGCAGTGCCTGTCGATTTCGGATGGGCACTTGAGATTAGGTGAGAGGGAGGGCACTCCTTCAAAGGGGGCAGATTAATAGCTCTTTAGCATTCCCAGTTGTTTGCAGTCACCCGGGGAGGTGAAATCATTTCCCACCACTATCTCCAACAGCTAAGAGAAACACATTTTAAATAGATAATCTATTACAACCATCAGGAGGATTTCAGGGGTGGGTGGTTTTGTTAACTCTTATTGTTTTACCTCCAATTTCCCCGTTTTTTCTTAAAGGCCCAGCTCCTGGGATCATGTGGCACAAAGCAAAAGAGAGCAGGGAGTCCTCCCAGATGGAGCAAAAAGCTTGGCAATAACACCACCTAGGTACAGGGATTGCAAGCTGCTGAAAGGAAATGGAACTCAGCTACCAGAGAAGCTGAAAGAAAAAAACAGATCCCCTGACTGTGGGGCAAAGAACACTAAGCTAAAGATGTAAGCAGGGGATGCTTAAGCAAGCTGGCAGACCCCAAGAAACAAATGTGCAGTGTGCTTTGAGATACAGAATAAAATGACGGGGGAAAATGCTTCAGTTCAGGAGGGAAAGAGTTGCCTGGTGTCCCTGCTTTGCTTGCCCAAGGAAAGAGTTCCAGGGAAATGAGACTACTGGGAAAGCAGTGACGATCAGTGCTCCCTCCCCATTCACAGGCACATTCCTGAATCCCTTAAGAGTCGCTGAAACCACAACAAACACCTTCGACACAAGCCCCTGAGAAGGCTGAGGGGCAGCTGATCTTCCCCCAGGGTGCACGGGATACCCTGCTGCTACATCACACATACACATTTCTATCTCTACAAACTCACAAATTCTGGCATTTCTCTTTCCTAGCAACAGGACTGAATCCATCCCGTTCTCCACCCTGATGAGTTTCTGGCAAGTGAAATAGCACCAAGTGTTACCCAGCATGGGAAAGGAGCTTGTTTTCTTCTTTGGAAAGCTCTGCCTCTCTTGCAAATGCCAGTAGTGAGTTTATTTGTATGATTTTATGATGTCTCATAAATGCAGAGGAATTCGAATTCCTACATGGAGTTCAAGTTCTCCCTGTACTACCTGCTTCTGGCCCACTCTGCACAGATGTTTTTACAAGAAAACCTAGTCAATTTACGTCTGGTAGGAAATTCCCTGGTGGCACTCGCCTACACCAGGCAGAGGTTTACACAGTAGCACACGAAGCACTGGTCAGGCTGCTTTGGGAAAGCATCTGCCGCCCTCTCCTCACTCCTCCTGAGCTGAGATGGAAACTCTGCCACAGGCAGCCACCAGTGCTCGAAAACCAGGCTCTGAGATGGAGAAAACATCCCCACCAGCTGCCTTAAAATTAACATCTTAGGCAAACCACCCCAGCTCCTCTCCCTGCCACTTTGCTTCATTTTTGCATGTCTAGAAGAAAGGCCTCTGAAAGGACTTTGGCAATTTGCACTTTGCAATCTGTATGGTGTCCCCTGCAGAGCCTTGGGAACACCCAGGGCACACCTGGGCACACTCATGGCCCAGACTGGAGGGCTTTACACACTCCAGCTCAGAGCAGTACAGGTTTGGAGCACAACCTTAGAGCTCCTCTATCAGCCCTCACAGATTTTACTTATTCACATCCCTCCAGCTCATCTTCACAGCCACCAGAGCTAGAAGCGTGCTGTGCCTGCCCTCCCACCTCTGATCAGCTTTTTCTAAAGCTGGGGTTCCTTTAAAGCATTGCTGGTTTGTTTTGTGATGGATTCACCGAGCTGGCAGCTGTGAAACCCATTAAGGTTGAAACACCAGGAAACGATGAGGATGTGGCAATGAGAGGGTCTGAGCAGGGGGAGATGAATTTCCCACTTTCACGTCCATCACAGCAAACCCATCTGCAGCCCCTCTCCCCTACTCACGGTCAGCATGACTTATTTTGCTTGCTAACTTTTTTTCTCCCATCATTTCCCTGTTCCCTTTGCCTACCTTGTTTTCCTCCATCCTTGACCCCTCAGTCAGTCCTGGGCCCCACTTCTGACATAATGAAAAGAGGACCAGAAGGATTTTTCTTTCCTTTTCATGGCACCCCACCATCTGTCACCAGCAGCCCCGTGCCCTGGGCCTCGAGCTGGTGGTCCATGCCAGTGCCTGTGCTGAGTGTGCAGCTCAGATGCTTAGCACAGGTGGGCAGCACAGCTGGCAAGGGTGTCCTCCTCCATCCTTCCTCCTCCACAGCCTCCAGCACTTTCCTCCAAGCTCTTTTTGAAGCTGAAGCTCCACGATGGAGCTGGTGACACTGGTGGCACTCAGGAGCAAGTGCTGGCCCCTCAAGCTGTAGTTCCTGTCCTACTCCCACACGGGCTGCAGTGGGGACTGTGGGCACCCCCAGGGGCACAGGAGGGGCTGCTCAGGAAACCGGGGTGCTGCTGGGCACACGGGCATCACGAGACCCCCGTTTCCTCGCTAAGCCGAGCTATAAAAAGGTGTAAAGGTGTCGCTGCCAGCAGCACACGGGGCCATCCGGCCCCAGGCACCATTCCCGGGAGGCACTTCTCAAATCTCCACACAGATAAACTTCGACTGCCCAGCAGCAGCTGAGGGAATGCTGCACCATCCCCTGCCTGGTGGCAGGGAAGGAGTCCCTGCATCAGAGTGCAGCCACAGGGCACAGATCCAATCACTCACAATGCTGCTGCCTCCCCAGACCCCTTTTTAAAGTAGGATATTGCCCCATGGACCCTGTGTTTCCCTTATTCCTCATCCAGAGAGGCAGCTCAAAACCGTATCCTCCAGCTCCTGCAGTGTTTGCTAGCTCCAGATTCACAGCTTTTGGCTGCACAGCCCAGCAGAGCCAGGGAGTGCTCTCACAAGACCCATAAACAGAAGCTGAGCCTGTCAGTTGTAAGTTTGAACTCCTCACCAGAGACTTTCACTGCTCCTAGAAAGCAGGAGGGGCTCCAGGTCACCCCAGGTGCCAGGCAGCAGTGCCCAAGGCAGATCTCAGTAGTCAGCACTGTGATCATCCCATTCCTCACCTCATCTGGCAGCAGCAGCCCAAAAGAGATTTTTTTCAGCTGCAAACAGTTTTTGGGCTAGCCCCAGGGATCTCTCCAGCATGACTCAAGCCAAAGCTGGAGCAAACAGAGAAAAGGAGAGGTGGGTGAAAATGGCTGCAGCCCTGAATTTCACCCCCAAGCCTCTCCTAGAGCTGTGGGAACAGGTCAGTGGGACCTGTCTGGAGAGTTCAGAGACATGAGCCACCATCTGCTCCCTGACACATGTCAACAGCACTTCAAAGCCCAACAAGGCAAGGAATACTCATTGCAGCCAGAGCAGAGGAACACAGACAGCCCCCAGCAGCATCAACACAGCAAAGTAAAAGGTGTCAGCAACAATAATCTGTGCTTTTGGGTTCTCTTTATTGACCTGCTGAAACCAGTAGCAGCATTCCCCCATCACCAGAGGAGAGCCCACAGTGTCCAGTGGAGTTTGGATGGGACTCAAATGAGTATAGCACAGCCATATGCTCTGCATTGATGCCCTGGCAATACCAGAAACCATCCTGGCAACACCAGTGTGTCTCATTTGTCTGAGCCAGGAGCTGTGGAAGGAATTAGGTCTGGTACAGCAGCAATACCAGCCCATCACAACATTGGGGTGCTTGCAATTACCTCTTCCCATAGCCATGCTGGCTGTGACATGCCTTGCCTGTCCCCCTTCTGGGGCTCAAATGCAGGCTGAATGCCCAGGTTTAACCTCTAATTCTAACTCTTTCAGCGTGCAAGACTCCTGAAGAGAAGGGCTGGGGGGTTTTGCCTCCCCAGCAGGGTAAGGGATGAGGTTTTCCTCTTTGCAAAGTGCTTCAGCTACAGCATGGGCTGAGAGAAGTAAATGCCAAGCAAGTTTGAGAGGTGGGAGGGACCTGAAGGAACAGGGAATTCAACCTAGCAGCAGCATCACTCCTGCAGAGATACACTTTTAAGGAAGGGGGGAAAATGGATAATAACGTGCCTATGCAAGCATGCATATGCCTAAACCTATACTACTACAACCTATACATGCAAAATGCAAGAACACTGACCTCATTGAGCAGTTGGTCAACTCTTCCCAAAATAGCCGTCTCCATTTGGTCTGCCGAGAGCCAGGCAGGGAGCTGTGTGGGTCTGTCAGCTTCCAAGTGGGACACGCGGGACTGCAGCTCGGAGGTGCGAAAGTACAGCAGGAGGCTGAGCACCAGAGAGAGCAGGGACACGCCGGGCAGCCCCGAGCCCAGCAGCAGAGGGAGGCGGCAGCACCGCTCCCCATCGCCGCTCCGGGGGGGAGCCACACACCCCCTGTCAAAAGCTGCTTCGTCGACGCCTTTCCAGCTCTTCTCCTCCAACATTCCCTCCCTGTCCTGAGAAACAATAAATAAATAAATAGAATAAATACAGCTTCGCTCCTACTCCAAGACGCGCAATCCAGAAGGCATAAAAGAAAAAGAACGTCGGAGGGAATCCCAGCGCCAGCAAATCACAAGTGACAGCAATAATGACAAAAGTGGATGGAGGGGGGGTGTCTTTAAAAAATAAAAACAAACCACACACACATAAAAGGGGTGCAGAAAAAAGGGATCCAACTGCAGCAAAGAGTGCGAAGGGGGAAAAAATAATCTGATCGAGATATTATTTTTTTTCCTCCTGTATTTCAGTCTTTTGGTTCGCTGGTAAGTTTTTGATTCTTTCTAAGCTGTCAGTTTCAGTTCCTTCGCAGACTGGCCGGGAGCTCGCACATGAAAGTCCCCATTAGAGAGAGGTAATTCTCAGCTGCTCCGGCGACGCTGTGCTCTGGCTGATCGCGGCTCCCCTGTAACATGACACACTCCCTCCGAACTACGGGGCTGGGATGAGCGAGCTGCGCGGCTTCCCAAAGTAACCTCCTCTGCTCGCCCTCTCTCTCCACCTCTCCCTTGCCGCATGATTTATTTATTTATGCAAAGCGCCGGGGTGGGATCGGGCAGTGGGACGCCCCTGTCCCGCTCGGTCCCCAAACCACCTCTCCGCCGCCAGCCCTTCCCTTTGAAGTGACTCTCGCCGAGGTTATTTATAGTGGCAGGAAAGAGATTGTAAAGCAGAGGCTGGGCTCACACCAGCCCGCGTCTTCCTCTCCTCCAGGCAGCCGGTAGCGCTTTATGGGATGGCACAAAAGGGCTGTGGCGTCCCCCACGCAGATCCTGGGGCAGCCCCCGGGCACCGGCACTGGGGGATTTGGACCCCGGTATTTTGAGGAGAGCGGCCAGGCAGGGCGAGAAGCAGAGGGAAACATCTGGAAACAAGAGCCGGCAGCTGAGGGCTCTGCAAGGAACAAGCGAAGGGCAGCAGGGAGAAACGCCCCAGGCAGGCTGCAGTGCAAGGGGGGAACATCTGGGGCCTGACCTGGGGGTACAACATGCCAAGGGTGCTCAGAGGAACCAATCTGCTGAGGCCCTCTAGTGAAGCAGAACTTCCCATCAGCCGCGTGTCCCACCAGGCACGGGGCACCAGACAGACAGACAGACAGACAGACAATCCCCCTTTGGCAAGGAGCAGTCTCCCCAAAACGTGCCGTAGGGCAGCTCCGAGCCATGCGTCTGGGAAACAAAGCCTCCTTCTGTTCTGCAGCAGCAAGGGAGGGCCACCTCTCCCAGTTTTTCTGAGCATAACATACAATATTTTATCCTCCGGGGTGACATGCAGGCTCTGCTGAGCCCCTGCCTGTCTGTCTGTCCGTTCTTTCATCCTCTCCTTGAGCACGCTCAGCAGTGAGGCAGCACAGAGCTCACCGTGGTGCACAGTCATTAAAAGCCAGGCAGCAAATTGGTCTCTTAAAATCTGGCTCCCTTGTGGCTCTTCTGCTGTCATTTACACGTTTTAAATGAAGATTTTGCGTGCAGTCTGTGCTGGAAATGAACTGGCAGAGAAAACTCATATTCATCTCTGGCCTGGTCTCTGTTTCAGGGGGCTGGAAGAGCCAGACCCTCTGGGAGCAGGTTAACGCAAGCACGAGTTGTTTCTGCACCAGACAAATCCTCAGAGGGCCCGGTAGCACACAGCCCCAATTCTTTGGATGGCCTCATGCCTTTCACAGCCACTCACTTCCCAAAGTGGGGTTTTAGCGTCTGCGAGGCAGGAAATCCTTTCTTTATTTCTTTTAGTGGGTTTTCTTGTCATCTCACTGCTCAAATTTGCGTTGCTGTTCCGGCACACAGGGAAAACACCCCTCTGATGGCTGCAGCCTTTCAACAGCTTTTCATATGAGCGGGGCAGAGATGTGTAACCCACAGACCTGGCACACAAAGGGTGTCTATTCGTTCAGGAGGTGTAGCCACCCTGGTCTCCTACCCCCTGTGTTTGCAGCCTGCTTCTTTACAAAAGGAAAAGAAGTCTTTGAGGCCCTGGCTCCATGGGAGTTACCCAAGATACCACCTGCAATCACAGCAAATAAGTAGACAGAGAGAAATGAAAGGGAAATGCCTAGAGGCTGATGATACAGCGTTTGAGAAGCAGATATCTTCCCAGGAAAATACCAGATAGCAGCTGGTGCTGAGTGTCCTAAAGGGTGCTGCAGTACCCTATCTAAAGATGGGGTTGAACTATGAAGACTGCAGCTACCTGCCTGTGTTATACAAAGTTTCACCTAAAGCTGTCTGTCTCTCCCCCCTTTATACCAACCTAAGCACTGAAATCACAAAAACCCACCCTCTAAGCTAAATATGGAAATCTGCTGGGTGTCTACATCTCTTTCCCCCCACTGGCTGGGGACAGCTCTCTGCTCTTTTGCCTGGTTTTTGATACAGATCCTGCAGTGCAGACACGAGCATCGCCTGAATGGCTCTGTAAGTGCCTTTTCCTGCCTCCCCCCAGCCCCTCTCCAGCTGATCAGCTCATTTGGAGGGTATGTCATAGCTGCTGTAGGCTGGGGAGCTGCACCCACACGGGTTTCATGCAGGAGCCTTAGCTGCAGATGTGCAGGAGGATAATTTTTATATCCATGAGATATTACGGAGCCCTGTCATCCCATGCCAATAGAGATGGACTAATTTAGCCCCAAACCTGAGCCAGCTGTGCATGTCGAGTCTGCAGCACTGCTCAACCAAAAAGCTGCCTCCAGAGACAGGCCTGGCATGTGGAATCATCTCAGCACTCCTTGGGCTGAGCACAGCCCACACTGCAGCTCTCTCAGTGCTATGAGAGGAGGTGAGCGCTGGCCTCAAACCAGTCCTCCTGCAAGTTCCTGACTCTCAAAGTTGGTGGAGTAGAAACAAATACTCACTTGCATTCAGGAGTGATTTCACTGACTGGTAACTCTCAGAAAGCCCTGCATATACTGAGCTTGAGGCTGTATCCCTCTTTCCTCGGGGAGGTTGATGATATTCCCTACAAGGACAGGAACCACACACTTCCATTGCTTCCAACACTCTTCCAAGATGTTTAAGGACCTCAGCACAAACATGTTAAGAATTGGACCAAACAGAACTCATATAATTTCCCAAAGCAGCTAAAACTCCTCTGTACAATGAAAAAGTTTCAAATTTAGCCCATGGCACTGGGTCAATTGATCAGTTACAAGCAGGTGTGGAAGATTCCAGCTTGGTCAGTCTCGAGCTGGCACAGGCCCTTTGTCTTTCTCAGGGACATGTGTATGTGGGCAAAGCACCCACAGAGTTTACCCAGCACTGCTCTGCAACAGACACACGATGCTCACAATATGTGGGGATTCCTCACGTGGCACAATGTGCTCTCATTGCCATAGACCATAAACCTTCTCTGACCCAAGGCAGGTGCTGTGGGCATGAACCACTCCATGCCACAGGCCAGAAATGGATAGAGCTGGGCATGGATGAGGTTCTTGCTTCTATGAGCACAGTTCAAGCCAGCCAGGTATCTACAACAGGCCTTCACCTGTAAAGGGATAGAGAACAGCAGCAGGCTTTGCTCACCTTCCATCACTTAAAGACAACCTTCTATTAAAAAATAGTGTCCTTCCTGTCACCAACTGGAAGTTGAAGCCAGCTGCCTGGCAATGCCATGTGCTCTGCCCTGCCACTAATCTTCCCCTTTTCAGACCATTTACCAGAGAGAAAAACCCCACCCCAGTTCTCTTTCTGTTGTTCTGCTTTCCCCCTCCCCCTGCCCCCTGCAGGAAACACGGGGGGCTTGGTGTGCTGGAAGCAGCCATTAACCAGCAGCCGACATCTCCAGCTATTGTAAATACATTAACTCAAGGCCTTTCCCTGCATTTATTAGGCTCGAGAACAACATCTGGAAACAGATGTTTTCTGAGCAGAGAAGAGAGGAGGAAGGAGGGTAACAAACCAAGGGGGTGGGAAGGACTCTTGCAAGTGGAAGTACAGGGTCTGCAGACCATCCCTGTGCAAAATGCTGCTCAGATGGAGCACTGCAAGGGGCTGAGGCAGCACAGCCACATCCCTCCGAGGCAAGGCAGCGAGAGTGGAACATCTCAGGGGGGGATGTTGCCTGACAGAAACAGCAATGGGGGAACAGAAAAACTCCCAGCAGCTTGCAGGGCCCTTGGGAGGAAAGGTCAGCACACACTCACACAAATGGGACACCAGGGCAGAGAGATTCAGGGTTTTTTTTTTCCTTTCCTGGTCCTGGACCTTCCCAGTCCTCAGCTGCTCTATATCCCAGAGGCTGTAGTGGGACAGTGTCACCTCCAGAACAGTTTGGCAGCATCTGCCACTGTGCAGGCAAGGTGTAGGGCTCCCAGAGTGTCCTGTGTGTCCCAAGCAGCCTGTTCCCAAAAGGCAAGCAGAGTGGAAACCTCCCATGCCAGGGACTCTGAAGGACCAAGGGGTCCCGCTCTGATGTGGAGTCTTGATGTCATGGCTCAAATTTAGACAAGTTTTAGAAAATTACACAGTGTTAACTCTGGACAAAAGGCAAGCATGCACATGCATACTTAAAAACATATCTCATGGCAGTATTGTGAAACTCCATTCTCAACTAGATACACTTTGGCTTAGGTACCAGAGATGCCTAAGGTACAATAGAGGTCTGAGATCAAAGCTTCCCTGCATTTCTTTTGTGGGAAATGCAGTTTTACACATACACATACCCTCTCTTTGTATTAAAATAAAACTAAAGCCAACAAACAACTCCAAAAATTAAAACAGAAAAAACCCCATAACCCCATAACAAGGATTTTGTCATCTTTAACCTCAGGTTCACAATGGGTATCTCCACACCCTTGTCTCTCTGAGATGCAGTTACACATACTTTGCAAGCAAGGTCAGGAATATTGAGTATTACCTACCTAATTTGGTATTTGTTTATAGCAAGCTTTAAGTGGCCTATGGAGCAGAACAATTCCCGCCCGAGGAGCTGCTCTAACCCATTGTGGAGTTATAGAATAAAGACACATTTGATCCTTTGGGAAAAGCGTTATGAAAATACATGGAAAAAATATACTGTCCATGCATAGTAATATCATGGCTGTTTTCAATCACTTGGTCTCCTCCTAAACAAAGGGGCTCACTGCACAATATGAACTCCTAGCACTGGCAGCAGCAAAGGAAGCAAGCAAGAAGCAAAGTTAGCAGTATCTGGTTAGGCTTTTATATTTTCATGACCCTAAAATGCCTGAGCTGGTTGTTGCCTCCGTCCCAGCCAAGCCAAAGGGGCTTTGTGCAGCTGCAGTGCTGGGAACCTGTCCCCAAGCTGTGTGAGAACAGCCAGGCAGAGCTGAGCCACGTCCAGCAGCTCCCGCAGAGGCTGTGTCAGAGCTTCCAGGAGAGCAAGGAGCAGGCACAGGTTGTGCACAGTCTGGGGCCGCCCCACCTCTCACACAGCCCGCAGAGGGGAGGCTCTGCTGGAGCAAAGCAGGGGACAGCAAGTGGTGGACTCACAGTTAAACTGCCCACGCTTGTCCTTGTGTTTCCAACTAACCTCTCACCTTTTGTTCAGATGATGAGGGAAACGGCTCTGAGCAAACCAGGCTCTGCACCCTTCTTCATGGAGGAACTTTTTTCTCACAGCAGAAGCCCTGCACGGCCAAGAAGCATTTCACAGGAAGAAGTTTGATTTCTT